GCCCGACTCTATTTTTCCAAACTTGTATTCCCTTTCTTCCGATTTAAATAAGCTGGAAAGAATTCTAGCATACTGCTTGCGGTTCATTTCTCGCTGCCGATCCAGAATGAAAGGGACAAACGAACCCTTAAACATTGTAGAAATTGAGCTCGCAAGATTTCATCTTATCAAAAACGCTCAAGCCGATACCTTTCAAGAGGAAATCTCAACTCTTCTACACTCGCAGCAGGTGAGGCCCACCAGCAAACTATCATCCTTGCATCCTTTCATGGACGAAAGAGGCTTGCTTCGAGTGGGAGGTCGGCTACGACATGCTCCTTTATCCTTTGCACAGAAGCATCCTATTCTGTTACCAGCCAACCACGTTCTAGCTAAGATGTTGATCGAACGGGAACATAAGCGACTTCTGCACATTGGTCCCCAAGCTCTTCTAGCCGCTATTCGTCAAAGATATTGGCCCTTGCGTGGGAAGGATATCGTACGAAGAGTTTGTCATGCCTGTGTGTGGTGTTCACGACGAAGGCCCCGTACTTCCTCTCAATTGATGGGTGATCTACCCGCCGATCGCGTTACGCCTACTCGACCCTTTTTTTGTTGTGGCGTGGATTTTGCCGGTCCACTCATTACCTTGTTAAATAAGGGCAGAGGACGGAAAACTGTCAAAAGTTACATCGCCTTGTTCATTTGTTTCGCTACAAAGGCTATACACCTAGAAGCTGTCAGCGATTTGAGTGCCGCTGCTTTTTTAGCCGCCTTACGACGCTTCATAAGCCGGAGAGGTTGCCCGCGGAAAATATATAGCGACAATGCCACGAATTTTAAAGGTGTTCAACGAGAGCTCAGAGAAGCATATACCTTTGTTCGACACGAAATCAATGGATCCTTGCATAATAAATTACTGGAAGAAGGCATCCAATGGATTTTCATTCCACCTTATTCGCCGCATTGGGGTGGACTTTGGGAGGCCGGCGTAAAGTCTTGCAAGAACCTTTTAAGGGCCGTTTTGGGAAACTCTGGTTTCACCTTCGAAGAGCTGTGCACTGCCCTCGCGCAAGTGGAACGTTGTTTGAATTCACGCCCTTTGTACGCACTGTCTAGTGACCCGTCAGATTTGGAACCGCTCACTCCCGGTCACTTCCTAATTGGAGGCCCGCTCCATTCTTTAGCCGAGAGCGACCTTCAAGATATTAATATTCATCGCCTTGATCGTTGGCAGTTGGTCCAGAGATCCGTTCAAAATTTCTGGAAACGGTGGGCGGCGGAATATATTGGCTCCTTACAGGGCCGTTCTAAATGGCAAAAGGCGCAACAAGATCTTCAAATTAACGATTTAGTTATTATAAAGGAAGATCATGTCCCTTCCTATCAATGGAAATTGGGTAGAGTTATTGAATTGCATCGAGGCAAGGATGCTCTTGTTAGATTAGTTTCTGTCAAAACCGCTAGCGGATCGGTACAACGGCATATTAACAAGATATGTAAACTACCTGTTACTAATAAGTAGAAAGATTATGATTAATCTTGGTGGGCGGTATGTTTGCGTCTTTACTTTATCATTAGTTT